TCCGGTAACACGAAGCTTCACCTACACACGCACCGAGCCAAAACAGGATGTTGGTGCGACTGCAAACGTCTGATTAGCTCAGCCACAGCATGCCTGTTGGTTCTGATGAAACTCACAGAGATAGCTCAAAATTCCTGGCCATTTCATAGTTTAGCCTCCTTTGGTAAATACTATTTAGTTGCAGAGCTTAGTGAGTGGCTGGTTTTATGGAACTGAATATTTGAGCCATATTCTGTGAGTGATTTTGTGTGCTCCCCCATCGGAGAGGCATTCATGCTGTGCTGGTTATGTTGAGTTTTTGAGAGTGGAGAAATGTCAAAAATGAGGCTGTAGAATGTTAGGCACATATGAACATTATTTATTATTGATAGATTATGCCAGCTTCCATGGAGTTCCTGTTAAAACTGTGTGATTGTGTATTCTTTCTTCTCCAGGAGTTTTAATACGCCATTCTTGTATGATTTTCCACTTCTGTATGTAGTGATCTTGCATGTAACACCTGTCCATTGATCCGGGATGTTATGTAGTAGTAGGTGTGGCAGTGTACATATTTTATCCAAAGAGTAGTACATTCTCATCTTGGAACCAGGGAAAGCACACGGGTAGCATGAGTCCAAGCATTTCTGTTGTATTACTGAAAGGCAACAAACATATCTGCTGTCATACTGTCTTTCAGCTGAGTATTATTCTCTCCTTTGTTTGGGCTAGACTTGTGGCTTATGCTGGTAGGATTTCCATGATGCTGACCATTAAGGATTATATTACCAAGACATTTTTTACTGCCTTTACCTGCTTGTTTCTGCCCAATAATTGAAGTTAGCTTTCGTTTGGGCCATGATTGAAGTTAACTTTGTTTGACAATGGTGTAACCACTCGCGCACTATCTGCCTGGCCTATGACGGAGGCAGATGATTCTTAGAGTGGTTAGTTACACAGGTCGGAGTGATGCTCCAGTCGAATCCTGACTTTCGCCCTAGGCAAATAATATCCCGGGAAGGAGTGAGATCAGACTCCAGGGTCCATTTCTATCTATCCGCATCACTCGAGTGGGTTGCCTGCCTAGACGGCAACTACCAGTGCTGTGCCTGCGCTGCTCCTCTCGTCCCGTGATAACTCGCTCGTCACATCGCGTCGCGTCCAACAGGAAGGACAAGGGCGCCACTCCAAAGTCCAAAAGCGCCCGTGCCCCGTCCAAAAGTTCCACGCCGAATAACGCGAAAAAGTTGCCCCGTCCAACCTGACTCAGCCTACCAAGAAACAAATCCCTGCACAGCCCGCAGCTGACATGCTAGTAGCCTAGTGGAAAGCACATGTCAATCCCGCGCCTACGTGCTGCTCCTCTAGTCCGTCCAACCGCAGTGAAAACAGCTCTGCCCCACAAAACAGCCGGCCATTGACCAGCAGCAGCACGCACTATAGCTCGCTCAGTCGCACACTCACTCACTCATTCCTGCACCGCACCGCACCTCGCCGGCCGGCCGCCCGGCTCCCTCCACGTCCATGGCAGCCGCCAGCGGCGCCTGCCTGCCTCTCCTCCTGCTCCTCCTGTCGCCGCTGACCATCTCCTCGTATTCGGCGGCAGCGGCGGAAGCAGAGCAGCCGGTACACGACCTCCTGCTCAGCTTCAAGGCCTCCCTGCACGACCCCGCCGGCGCCCTCGCCACCTGGTCCCGCTCCACGCCCTACTGCAACTGGTCCCACGTCACCTGCACGGACCCCTCCTCCTCGTCCGCCTCCGCCTCCGTCGCCGTCTCGCTCCAGCTCCAGGGCCTCGGCCTCTCCGGCGACATCGACGCCACCGCGCTCTGCCGCGTCCCGGGCCTCGCCGGCCTCAGCCTCGCGTCCAACGCCTTCAACCAGACCGTCCCGCTGCAGCTCTCGCGCTGCGCCTCGCTCGCCTCCCTCAACCTCAGCTCCGGCGCCTTCTGGGGCCCGCTACCGGAGCAGCTCGCCGCGCTCGCCTCGCTCACGTCGCTCGACCTCAGCGGCAACGACATCGAGGGGACCGTGCCGCCGGGCCTCGCCGCGCTGCGGGCGCTCCAGGTGCTCGACCTGCGCGGCAACCGCCTCTCCGGCGTGCTCCACCCGGCGCTCTTCCGCAACCTCACCAGCCTCCACTACCTCGACCTGTCCGGCAACCAGTTCTTGGAGTCCCAGCTGCCGCCGGAGCTCGGCGGGATGGCCAGCCTCAGGTGGCTCTTCCTGCAGGGGTCAGGGTTCAGCGGCGAGATACCCGAGACCTTCCTTGGGCTGGAGCAGCTGGAGGCTCTTGATCTCTCCATGAATAGCTTGACCGGAGCCGTTCCTCCGGGGTTCGGCCTCAAGTTTCAGAAGCTGCTGTCTCTGGATTTGTCGCGCAATGGCTTCTCTGGGCCGTTCCCCAACGGCGTCGACAAGTGCCTCATGCTGCAGAGGTTCGAGGTGCAGGGCAACGCCTTCACCGGGGAGCTGCCCGCCGGCCTCTGGTCGCTGCCGGACTTGCAGGTCATCCGCGCTGAGAACAACCGCTTCTCCGGCCGGCTGCCCGAGTTCCCCGGCGGCGTGTCTCGGCTGGAGCAGGTTCAGGTCGACAACAACAGCTTCTCCGGTGCGATACCCCAGAGCATCGGCCTGATCCGCACCATGTACCGCTTCTCCGCCTCACTGAACGAGCTCAACGGCAGCCTGCCGGACAACCTGTGCGACTCCCCGGCGATGAGCATCATCAACATCTCCAACAACGCCATCTCCGGCTCGATCCCTGACTTCAACAACTGCAAGAGGCTGGTATCGCTGTCCCTGTCCAGCAACGGCCTCACCGGGACGATACCAGCCTCTCTCGGGGACTTGCCGGTGCTGACCTACATCGACCTGTCCAGCAATGGCCTCACCGGCGCCATTCCGGCGGAGCTCGAGAACCTGAAGCTTGCGTTGCTAAACGTCTCGTACAACCGGCTCTCCGGCCGCGTGCCTCCGGAGCTGCTCTCCGGCCTTCCCGCCGTGTTTCTTGAAGGGAACCCAGGCCTGTGCGGTCCCGGGTTGCCGAGCGATTGCGATGCGCCATTGAGGAAGCATCAGGGACTAGCACTGGCTGCGACGGTGGCCTCCTTCGTTACAGGATTGGCGCTGTTGGCCGTAGGGGTGTTTGCAGCTTGTAGGAGGATACATGGCAACAGGCCCTCCTCCCCATGGAAGCTGGTGCTGTTCCACCCAATCAAGATCACCGGAGAGGACTTGTTCGCCGCGTTCCACGACAAGAATGTGATCGGAAGAGGAGCATTTGGAAAGGTCTATCTGATCGTGTTACAAGACGGGCAAAAAGTCGCGGTGAAGCGGCTGTTCAGCTCGGGCAAGCTGACATTCAGAGAAGTGAAGAATGAGATGAAAGCGCTGGCGAAAATCAGGCACAAGAATGTTGCCAAGATTGCAGGTTTCTGTTACGCGGAAGGAGAGGTCAGCGTCATATATGAATACTTTCAGAAAGGAAGCTTACAAGATATGATCTGTGCGCCGAAGTTCGCTGTGGGATGGAACGACAGGCTGAAGGTTGCACTGGGAGTGGCTCAAGGATTGGCATATCTTCACCATGATTATACTCCTCGCTTGCTGCATCGCGATCTGAAGTCGAGCAATGTGCTACTTGCCGATGAATTTGAGCCCAGGGTCGCCGGGTTTGGAATTCATCGTGTCGTGGGGGAGAAGGCGTATCGATCTTCCTTGGATTCGGATTTCAATGACAAGTGCTACATCGCGCCAGGTATGCATTTCTGTAGTTGAATCAGTACACCAGGTTTTGAAGAGCCTGTTACCCTATCCTATCCTATGCATTTGCAATGTGTTCATCTTGTTACCAATTTGTTTTAGTAGTAACCTCACTGGATAATTGCACCTTATACTTCTCGTAAAAAATGAACCTTATTATACATATCAAGAAGGTAGAGTTGGTACTATTACCATTGAGTAGATTTATAGCTGCATAAAATTGTACTGAAGTTCTCTTCTGTTTTCCTGAAACCAGAGCAAAACTTCACAAAGAGCCCAACGAACCTCATGGACGTCTACAGCTTTGGGGTCATCCTCCTGGAGCTGGTCACCGGAAGGCCAGCAGAGCAGCCGGCGTCCAAGGACTGCTCAGACATTGTTAGCTGGGTGCGGAGGCGGATCAACCTGATCGACGGCGCATCGCAGATACTCGACCCCAGCATCCCCCGCACGGAGCAACAGGGCATGAAGGCTGCCCTGGAGCTCGCGGTGCGCTGCACGTCGGTGAAGCCTGACCAGAGGCCGGACATGTATGCAGTTGTGAGGTCGCTGCAGGCGCTGTAGTTTGTACCATTCATCCACGGACACCACCATACTCTGAAGTTGCTATGTGATCTTTGGCTGGAGAAGCACTTCAGTTTGTGATGTTCTGAGTTCAGACCATCTGTTACTATGTATTTCGTGCCTGTTGTGTATATTTGTGTGATTGTCATGACATTGACAGAATAAATAGAAATAAGACGCCTGTGTGATTCGCTTGTTCATTCAGCCAGCAGCTTTCAAGCACAAAAAGAGCTTCAGTAGAACAAGTCAGTGAGCAGTTTTGAAGTATACAAAACGAGCTTCAGAAGAACAAGTCATGCATACAGCGATTAAACAACAATTCCAACTTGCAAATATCTGAAAATCCTCTTCTCTTATTCCATCATAATATGATGAACATAAGTTTTACAAACATCGATTATTCCATTACAGGACATAAACACACAAGGATGATAGGGACTAGAGTACAAACCAACAACAGTACTGAAGCAAATTATTTTAGGAAACAGATGAATTAAAACAAACTATTGGCTACAATAGGCAATTACCCTCTGCCAGTTCTTCAGTGCCTCTCCATATGAGGGGCTCTTTGCTCAGGCATGATAAACTCTTCAGTGCCTCTCCATATGAGAGGCTCTTGCTCAGGCATGATAAACATAACTTCCACAGATGTGGCCGGTGGTGCTCACTATGTCCCCAATCTGCTTGGCGACGCATCAATCCTCCAAATCTTGCTCGCGTTCAGCCCGGACCCTTGCCCGGGTCTGATAAACTTTTCTTCCTGCACTTATGTTGCAGTTATTCACTATGTCGCTGAGAAAGTACCAACAGATTGTGCTTTGTGGAGGCCCCGGAACGACACCAGCACCAGCAACGGGAAGGCAAAGTGTAGACCTCCCAATCCCCATGTCAAAGACCATGCCCTGATCCCTGCCCCTCCCGCCGATCCAGTACACACAATTACCCTTCAGTCCTGGAACATCTTCAGCATACATCGACACGGCATTGTTCCTCCCAACAAACACCGAGTAGCCTCCCAAGTCTGTCACGGCATCCCAGCATGGTTGGCGCCGGGGATAATACCTCAGAACAACTATTTCATTCTCGGCTACACGGCAGTGACCGCCTCCTGGCAGCTGCAAAGTGACCGTGCAGCTTGCATTTCTCCAGATCTGGTACAGGTTACCGTCACAGAACACCAGGTTCTTGGCACTAGTAAAAATGGACACCGTGTTGTATGGCGCGGCAAAACAGGTAGCAGGATCGAACGGTAGGTTGCACTCAGACAACATGGGCTCGACTGTGGCCGGTGCATTTAGGTCCGGTCCGACAGATCCAGGAGGAACTCTCCTAAGAGGCATAAACACATCTTGGCAGAAGGTAGCCTTCATTGTGGCAATTGGGAGCTGCTGCTCTCTCCATCTACGATGTTCATAGCAGAGCATACGCAAGTTGCGCTGTCTTCTTCCCTGAAGACTGAGTGCGGGACGTCCTAAAGGCATCTCTGGCTCTGATGGGCCAGCCGGATCCTCGACGACGATAGGCTTCCTGCGGCGGCGCTCCGGCAGGCGGAGCACGTGGACATCGCCATAGCGGGTGAGGCAGTAGACCCTACCTTTTTCATGGTAGACGACGTCGGCGAGCTGATCTCCGCTGGAGAGGCGGACGGGATCGAGGATGGCCCACCTCCTGGCCCCCGCGGTGACGTAGGCGAGCCTGTCGATGTCGCAGATGGCGGCGGCGGCGAAGTCGTCCCTGGCGGGGTTGGGCGCGAAGACAAGCTTGGAGACCCAGCGGCTCTCGTAGATCAGCGGCGGCAGAAGGATCTCCGTGGCGGTGATGGGGTTGAAGAGGCTGAACATGCTCTGGCCGCCGTAGAGGCAGACGGAGAGGGCGAGCCAGCCGTTGCTGGAGCCGACGCATCGGCCCCCCGAGAGGATGTTCTTGAGCTCGAAGGAGCGGTGGGTGGGGAGCGACGCGGCGGAGGGGCAGCACCTGGCGTCGTCGAGGACGACGAGGAGCGACGGGGAGGGCGGCGAGAGCGCGCATCGCCAGGCCGTGCAGGCGCCCCGCGCGCTGGCGTAGCACTTGAGGTCGAGGCTGTCGCCGATGCGGCAGAGGAGGTCCGCCGGCAGATCCGCCCAGCGCCGGAACGGCGGCATGGCGGCGGCGGCGGGCGGGCTGTGTGTGGGAATGGTGGCTAGGCCATCGGGTCCTAGGGTTTCATCTGCCGGAATGGAGGCGATTGCGAGGTTGGGGAATTTTATGCTCCATTGTCGGGTGGGCATCTTTCGGACAAGCCCCTGGGGTTCTTCCAGATTGGCGAGCTGGTCCGGGCGCCGCGAATGAGGGCCGCGTGTCTCCCTGCCCGTCCTAACGGGTTTCCCACACCTGCCGGATCTCACAGCTCGACGCCGTTGTTCGGGTCAAGGCGGCGACCGGGCCACTCACTCTCGATACAGCCCAGCTCGCCATATGGTGGGCTTGCTCGGCCTTATTTCTGTTCCGGCTTCCGAGCCTCAATATGTTGCGATCCAAGTTGTTGTCACCACAATGAGAGGGATTGCCTTTTTTTTGAAAAAAAAAACACAATGAGAGAGTGTGCATTCGCTCAAGAAAAGAAAAAAAAAAGATAGAAAAACAATCTATGCATTACTGATAATTTCTTGATTCTCATGAGTGCAGATGTATTAAATGTAACTTCCTTACAGAAAGTTATAGATACCTACATTCAGAATTCGGGCCAGTTGGTTAGCTTGGCAAAATCTAGTTTTTTTTAGTGCTAACACTTCTGGTACTGCATGATCTGAGATTTGTCAAATTTTGCATATTGATGGTGAAGCTCTTTCTAACAAGTATCTTGGGTTGCCTGCCATGGTGGGTGTAGACATGGGTGATTGTTTCAGGCACTTTATTTGAGATAATAAAAACATAGAATTCAATGATGGATGGGAAAACCGTTGTCTAGTGGAGGTAACGAATTGTGGCCCAAGCTAAACTAGCGTTTGCTATGTCAGTGCTTTGTCTGTCCAAGGGAATTTCTAAAGAGATTACTGATATAATTGCCTAGTTTTGGTGAGAGGGGAGGTGATGAGCAGCATAAAAAGATGCGTCGGTATTCATGGTGGAAACTTTGCTATCTTAAAAGTGAAGGAGGTATGGGAGACATGGATCTTTACTCTTTTAATCTTGCATTGTTGTCTAAGCAATGTTGGAGGTTAATTACAAACCCAGAATCTCTTTGTGCTCAAGTGGTGAAAGCAAAATACTATCCCAAAATGAAGGCTTATTGCAAGCTAGCGTCAAGAGTGGCTCATCATTTACATGGTAGAGCATAATGAAAAGGGTTGGGTGTTTTTAAGCATGAACATATCTGGCGAATTAGTTATGGTGGTGAAGTTAATATATGGAACGAGCCCTAGATCCCTTCGAGCCCAGATAGGAAGATTATAACATACATATTTTTAACAAAGTTAATGATATCATTGAACCTACGTCCAGGTTGTGGGATGAAGAGCTAATCCGGCAAATATTCAATCCAGTGGATGCTCAAAGAATCTTACAATTGTGCTTCACTACCAAGCATTTGAAGACTATCACATGGCATCCTAACGGGAAAGGAATATTTTCAATCCTCTAGGCTTATCACATCCAGAGGATTCATACTTTCAGGTGCCATGAAATAACCTTTTTAAGCTTGGAAAGCTCCATGACTCCGGAGGTCTAGATTACTACTAGTCACGATAGAGTTGTCAGATTTCCCCGAAGATAGTATTTCCCTCGGTTAAGAACCAAGGTTTATCGAACCGGTAGGAGGCAACATACGAACCTTTAGCAGCACCTGCACACAAACAAAATGCACCCAACAAAGGCAAGGGGGTCGTCACTCCCCTTGTTCTTTCCAGCCACAAGACTAAAACTGATAGTTATATGCAAAGTAATAAAAAGTAAAAATTAAATAAAAGAAAGCAAATAGCGCAATTTTGGAGACTTAGTTGAAGGAAATATGCCCTAGAGGCAATAATAAAGTTGTTATTTATATTTCCTTATATCACGATAAATGTTTATTATTCATGCTAGAATTGTATTAACCGAAAACTTGATACATGTGTGGATACATAGACAAAACACAGTGTCCCTAGTAAGCCTCTACTAGACTAGCTCATTAATCAAAGATGGTTAAGTTTCCTAACCATATACATGTGTTGTCATTTGATGAACGGGATCACATCATTAGGAGAATGATGTGACGGACAAGACCCATCCGTTAGCTTAGCGTAATGATCGTTAAGTTCTATTGCTATTGCTTTCTTCATGGCATATACATATTCCTTTGACTATGAGATTATGCAACTCCCGGATACCGGAGGAATACCTTGTGTGCTATCAAACGTCACAACGTAAATGGGAGATTATAAAGATGCTCTACAGGTATCTCCGAACGTGTTTGTTGGGTTGGTATAGATCGAGATTAGGATTTGTCACTCCGAGTATCGGAGAGGTATCTCTGGGCCCTCTCGGTAATGCACATCATACTAAGCCTTGCAAGCAATGTGACTAATGAGTTAGTTGCAGGATGATGTATTACGGAACAAGTAAAGAGACTTGCCGGTAACGATATTGAACTAGGTATGAAGATACCGACGATCGAGTCTCGGGCAAGTAACATACCGATGACAAAGGGAATAACGTATGTTGTCATTACGGTTTGACCGATAAAGATCTTCGTAGAATATGTAGGAACCAATATGAGCATCCAGGTTCCGCTATTGTTTATTGATCAGAGAGGTGTCTCGGTCATGTCTACATAGTTGTCGAACCCATAGGGTCCGCCCGCTTAACATTCGATGACGATTTTGTATTATATGAGTTGTGTGATTTGGTGACCGAATATTGTTCGGAGTCCCAGATGAGATCACAGACATGACAAGGAGTCTCGAAATGGTCGAGAGGTAAAGATTCATATACAAGACAATAGTATTCGGACACCGGAAGTGTTCTGGGGGTACCGGGTATGTATCGAGTCACCGGAAGGGGTTCCGGGCAACCCCCGACAAACTATATGGGCCTAATGGGCCAAGAGAGGGACAGACCAGCCCCTAAGGGGCTGGTGCGCCCCCTATAGAACGAAATAAGGGGGAAAGGAAAGGAGGGAAGTGTTGGGGATATGACTATCAGATATGACCCGCCCAGGAGGGGCCGGGTCAACCACATGGCGGTTCATCTAAATGAAGCCCAAGAATATACAAGATGGCGGTTCACAGTTAGGCTTATAAGAGGCCCAGGCCCAGAGGCGGCTTAAGGCCCGTAAGTATAAATAGCCATGTATGTGTAGACTTGTAATGTAAGGCATGTAATATACGTCACCGAGCCGGACACGTTGTATGAGCCGGCCGGGACTCTGTAGGCCGCAGGGCGTCAACCCATGTATATAAGGGGACGACCCAGCCATGACTTAGGGCAAGAAACATCAAATCGAGAACCAGGCAAAGCGTGTTTGCTCCCTGGTAATCGAAACCCTAGCAATACCACCTCAAACTGGAGTAGGCCTTTACCTTCACTGCAAGGGGTCGAACCAGTATAAACTCTCTGTGTCCTTTGTCCCGTTTAAACCCCTTTAAGCTAACCTCGTCGCAATGACTCTGATACGTCTCCGTCGTATCTATAATTTTTGATTGTTCCATGCCAATATTCTACAACTTTCATATACTTTTGGCAACTTTTTATACTATTTTTGGGACTAACATTGATCCAGTTCCCAGTGCTAGTTCCTGTTTGTTGCATGTTTTTCGTTTCACAGAATATCCATATCAAACAGAGTCCAAACGGGATAAAAAATAACGGAGATTTTTTTGGAATATATGTGATTTTTGGGAAGAAAAATCCACGCGAGACGATGCCCGAGGGGGCCACGAGGCAGGGGGGCGCGCCCCTGACCCTCGTGGGCACCTCGTAAGGCGGTTGGTGACCTTATTTCGCCGCAAGAAAGCTAATATCCGGATAGAGATCGTGTTAAAATTTCAGCCCAATCGAAGTTACGGATCTCCGGGAATATAAGAAACGGTGAAAGGGCAGAATCAGAGAACGTAGAAACAGAGAGAGACAGAGAGACAGATCCAATCTCGGAGGAGCTCTCGCCCCTCCCATGCCATGGAGACCAAGGACCAGAGGGGAAACCGTTCTCCCATCTAGGGAGGAGGTCAAGGAAGAAGAAGGAGGGGGGCTCTCCCCCCCTCGCTTCCGGTGGCACCGGAGTGCCACCGGGGGCCATCATCACCACCACAATCTTCACCAACAACTTCACCGCCATCATCACCAACTCTTCCCCCTCTATGCAGCGGTGTAACCTCTCTCTTAACCGTTGTAATCTCTACTTAAACATGGTGCTCAACGCTATATATTATTTCCCAATGATGTATGGCTATCCTATGATGTTTGAGTAGATATGTTTTGTCCTATGGGTTATTTGATGATCAAGATTGGTTTGAGTTGCATGTTTTATTATTGGTGCTATCCTATGGTGCTCTCCGTATCGCGGAAGCGTGAGGGATTTCCGCTGTAGGGTTTGCAATATGTTCATGATTTGCTTATGATGGGTGGCGTGAGTAACAGAAGCACAGACCCGAGTAAGTAGGTTGTTTGCGTATGGGATAAAGAGGATTTGATACTTTAATGCTATGGTTGGGTTTTACCTTAATAATCTTTAGTAGTTGTGGACGCTTGCTAGAGTTCCAATCATAAGTGCATATGATCCAAGTAGAGAAAGTATGTTAGCTTAAGCCTCTCCCTCATATAAAATTGCAATAATGATTACCGGTCTAGTTATCGATTCCCTAGGGACAAATAACTTTCTCATAACAAAAAGCTCTTTCCTAAAACTAATTTAGTTGTGTCTTTATCTAAACATCCCCTACTTTTTATTTAAGTAATCTTTATTATCTTGCAAACCTATCCAAAAACACCTACAAAGTACTTCTAGTTTCATACTTGTTCTAGGTAAAGCGAACGCTAAGCATGCGTAGAGTTGTATCGGTGGTCGATAGAACTTGAGGGAATATTTGTTCTACCTTTAGCTCCTTGTTGGGTTCGACACTCTTACTTATCGAAAGAGGCTACAATTGATCCCCTATACTTGTGGGTTACCAAGACCTTTTTTTGGCGCCGTTGCTGGGGAGCCATAGCGTGGGGTGAATATTCTCGTGTGTGCTTGTTTGCTTTATCACTAAGTAATTTTTAATTATTGTTCTTAGTTGTTTTCTATCTTTAGTTATGGGTAGGAAACGCAAAA